CCCGACAGCGGGCCCAGCGCCCGCCCCGGCCCCCAGGCGGGGCGCCCCGCGGGCCGTGGCGGGCGGCCGTGCCCCAGGCTGGCGGGGTGCTGGCGAGCGGACCCGGTGGCTGCAGATCTGCCCCGCAACGGGAGCGAAGCTGCCTCAGCCCTGCCGCGGGACCCCGGTGCTGGCGGGACCGCGGTGCTTCTGCAGAGGACCTGCGAGTTCCTCCCTCGGTCCCAGTCTCTGCATGGGATTTTGTTCCAACAGCCTATCTCTCTCACATTGCAAAGATGAGATGATTATTTTTCTTACCTTTACTAAAAAGAATAAACAGATAAAGTCTTATCTAGTGTAAATCTTTACAATATAACATTTCTCGTTCAAAAGTCCTAACAAGGCAACATATGCTACTGTTTGCTTCCTGACAGGATCGTGTTATGACCACTTAAATATCGTACTTACTAACTACTGAAGTACGGGCCAAATTGTTAATATATTTTAATAACATAGGCCAGCTGTACTGGCTCACACCAGAAGTTCTGCCTGGGCCAGTAAGGGCCTGGGCAAGATTATAATAAAGCCATACTTCCACTCTTTGCACCCCTTTTTATTGGATTTATGGCTTCATTTCTATAGCCAGAGATAGTATAATTATTTTCAGTAGCCCTCAATTTTTCATCTGTCAATTTGCCCTGTTACTTTTTGAGACTGTGCACTTTTGGCAGCTATCCTGTCCACAGGCACTATGCTCCATAATTCAACTACCTCTTGTGCAATGAAATACTTCTGTACTCCATTTGTTTTCAGTCTGTCCCTTGGTAAACTCATGTGATGCCAGATAGATCTTGTATTACGAAAGACCATGAATAATCATTCCCTTGTCACTTTCTCCAGGCCTCTCATGACTTTACTGACTTCTGTCACATTCTCTTCAGTCCTGCCTTTCCCAGGCTAAGAAGAGTCCTTGTTTATTCCCAGTACAAAACACGTTCCATATCTTTGATCATCCACGTTGCCATCTTCTTTTTACCTTTTTCAATGTATTATTCCTCTTTCAATGGAAGAAAGAAGAGAAACAGAACACAGTATTACCCAATGTTTTAATGAAGTTCTCAATTTTGTTCTCCATGCCTTTCTAACTAATTCTCAATCTAATTTTACATGTACTGTACTTACCATCCCAGAGCCTGTAACTACCTCTCTACTGGTTTCTATCAGTATGCCTAGTTTCATGAGAAGTTGTACATGTGAAATCGGGTACATTCAAAGAGAACTATTCATATGCTGAAATGATTTGGCAGTTGCCAAAAATGCAGCTTTACTCCCTGCAGCTTATCCAATGAGGGTATACCCAAATTTGCGCAAACATTATTAATTATACAAACTTTAAGTATTTGTGTTAAAGCATAGTAGAATAAATTTAATTAAAGTGAACATTGCGTATGAATTTCTGGACAGATTGGGTCATTCTGAAGATGCTATTTTTAACAAGTTCCTAGATGTTTACAGACAAATGTGATTTTTACCTTGATAGTACACAACAAAAAAGCAAGGAGCACATTTTTGATAATTTCCTTGTGATTTTGTTAAATGGAAGTGCACTCAACTCTACTGTCATTCCAAATTGTAGTAAATTAGAGTCCTAAATTAGTAATGCACACAGTCTTGACCTTAAATCATTCAATTAGGCAACAAATGAATCACTGTGTCCTCAATTCAGACAGTAGAACTGATAGCTAATTAACTTTCCCCTTTTGCAGTACCTAGCAACTTCACGGATTTGTTTTATAACAGTAAATGTTTTGGTACATTAAATGATTAGGAGAACACTCTGATCTTATTTTTTTTCTTGCGCCTAATGTACAAAACATTACAGCCATCTATAAATAAACTAGGCTACAAATTATCAAATAAAATTTTCAAATATTTACTTGGGCTTTACTAATTAAATAATGTGACACTGTGTTCCACTTCAAAATTGCTGCAAAATTAAATTGAACATATTTAATGAAATTTTAATATTACCTACTTTTACAAAATAAACTATATGGCAATGTTTATGACAATTGAAGAGCTATTCTTTTTTATAGGTTTTGCACTTTTAAATTTTTCAAATTACGTTAATTTAAGTGTTGTTTCCAACCTCTCTTCTCAATCATAGAATCATGAATTTATGTAAGCATTAATGCAAATGCATGTTTCTGGACAAATATGTGTATTAGGAGTCCTTTCTAAATAAGCAATGTAGAAATATCCCTAAGAGGCTAAGAACTAAACACAGATTAAAGAAATTATCTTTTCTGTCGTATTTTCAGACAGTCCTATAATACAGACACCAATTTTTCCATGGTTTTCTTGAGAGGATTTGTTACTTTGTGTAAAAACTTAGGGAGTGAAAAAAACCCCTGAAGTAAGAGGTAACTTCTGAAAATACTAGCTGTTATCTTACACATTAAGAACCATTAGGATTTTTGTGCCTTTCTTTCTTTTTTGGAAGAGGCGGGCTGCAAAAGATTGCTCTGCAGTAACTCTTCTTAAATTGTCTGTGTTCGTTTCCTGCAGGGAGTACCTGGGGGCTAGTAGCGTAATCCTATGTGAAAAAAAAACTTGGCATACATGCTTTGTAAATACCTTTGGGCTTGATTAAGCTTCCAGAGAAGTTTTTAGCTTTTGCTTTCTTTGGGGGCCTTACATGTTTCCTAACACTGACAGTAATATTCCCACAGGATGACAAATGGGCAGATGCAATAGGGTATTAGGGATATTGTAAAAGGAGGTAATTACTTTGTACATTTCTATGTGTTTTCCACCTGGTGAGGTTCTATGCATAACAGATAGACCCATGAACAGTGCTATTGCTCGCTGCATTCATTTACAACCCTTAAACAGGGATACTTTTTGTATTAACACATGCATACACCCAGTCACCAACACTTGCCTTCACCAGCACTACCCTCATCTGTGCATTGCTCTGTGTACCTCTACACCTGATTCTTTCACTAAAGAAGGAGGAACTGCATTATTGCAAGACAATTTTCAAAAGTTTTAACTGGTTTTATAGGTATAATAAACTTGAAGTCGGTCAGAAGGAAAAGGGATGTTTTTACTTGCAAGTTTTTGTACTAAACATAGGCATGTGACTTATCTCAGTCCTCTCAGTGTTTCCTCTATTCATGTGACTTAGGGTTTAGGTTACTCAGTAGAAAGAACTCAAAATTTCCAAATTGCCTTTGTTTCAGTGTATAATTAGGAAATGGTGAAGTAAGACAACGTGACTGTAATGTATATGAGATGGTTCATATTGTCCCTTAACTAATGTATAAACCAGCTGGTCTCTACCCTGGAGGGCTGTCTTTTTTATCAAGAGACATCAAATTACAGTTGTCACAGAATCCATTTATAAAATGGGTCACAATTTTTTAATGTAAAATGTACAAGGAGATGGATAAGAAGTAGCTTTGTGCCTTTTTTTAAAAGGGAAAATTGGTCTCTTTTAACCATCTGAATCGACATGCGCTCTAAGTTACGTAGCCCTAAGTGTTTCAGAACTATCAATATAAATTAAACATATTGTTCAGTGTAGAGGCTCCTTTAAAAGATTATAACTGGGAAAATATATCAAAAGTTAGACATAAATATATTGTTGATGTTTGTAGTCCTGTATTTGACAAAAAGAGTCTGAGAATGAGGACAGAAAAACCCCCTAACTTTCTCCTTACATTCATTACACATGACTTTTGGGGGTTTTTTATCTTCCAAAAACATCATCCCTTGCAAGGCAAAAGTTTCAGAATTCTAAAACATTGTGTTTTGCATTGGTATTATCATTGCTTTTTGGGAAAAGTAGAAGATTAAATTGCTGCAGTTCTTCAGATGGGTTAATGAAGGGGGCTGTATTTGCCATGATGATCAAAGAACAGAGAAATGCACTAACATCCCATGGATGCAGCTTGTCACCTGTGGTCTGCAATATCCAGCATGATAGAGAGCCTGAGGATTTATAGAGTATATTTTTCTATTTTGATTGGAGTTAAAAAGTAAAATACATAAATGTAACAAGACCCTGCTCCCATTAAAGTAATCAGCAAAATTTACCTTGAATTCATGGGAAGTTAACATAGATCCCAAACCCAGGCTATACCACCAGGCTATAATCCAGAAGATGTATTTTACCATCAGTGGCCGTCTCCAAAATAATATTTAGATTGGAAGATAAAATTCTATTTCTTGCTTCTGGGGTGTTTGAGAACTCTTGTTACAAAACAAAAAACCACTGTTTCTCCGTCTGGTAATGAAAGACCATCCCAAAGCCAGGATGACCACTGAAATTGCAAATGCAAAGGCACGGCATGTTTGTTTTAACACTCACACTATTTTAGGCCTTTCATTGGGCAAGTCTCAAGATGGAACACTGATTTTATAAACCCACATTATCACCTTAAGCATCCTGACAGTAAATGCACTCTTCACATGTGCAGGCAGACAGGCTGTAGCTCCTGTAAGAGTTCATCAGAAATAGTTATGTCATGACATGATTCTTGAAGGTGCCATCTCTTTCTGACCTGTAAGTGCATCTGCTTTCCTCTTGTTAGTGTTAAAATTGTAATAACATCCAAATACTGTAGGTGCTTTGCAGACATTTAAAAAATGGTTCCTCTCCCAGTGAGTTTACAGTCTTAAAAAAAGGTGGGAACATGGAAGAGGAAGGACACAAACTAAGAGACCCATTGTCCTTACCCAGTTGAATGCATCATATAAATAATAATATCAAACAATTTACTTTTGACATAATTTGGACCATCCCGATTTAGTTGTCCTATCGGCTGCTATGTGTGTACCTTCCACAGGATGGTGCTGGCAGTGTATTTTGTGGCAGTGTATTGGCTGGTCTGTACAGTGGGCTGCTCTATTGCATTTCCTTCTTTGCCATGGAACCGCGCCTTTTCTACGCTGCTGTTCTCATACTTATTCTAGATATTGGGAAGAAGGAGAGTAAATGAAACAAGAGTAGCCTTCTATACAGTATTGTCTCCAGTTGTATGTAATTATGCATACAACTACATGTACTTGTATGCAATTACTACATGTAATCAGACATACAACTTCTTTCCAAATTTGTCCTCCACAGTGCTACACTGAAGAATGAACTGGAAATAGAAAAGCACAGAAATGCTTTGTGCAGCTGAATAATGATTTACACCTAAGGACATTGGAACAAATGTTTACAACTGAAGAATTTTCACCTGCAGTCTTCTCACTATAGCTCAGGTCCTCAGCTTTCTGTAAGGGAAACCCCTATCCTAACTTAACCTTTCACTGTTCTAGATAATCAGTTTCCATACTTAATCACACTGGGCAGAAGAAGGATTTTGATCTATTATATATCATATCAAAATACAGTTTGTGATTTTAAATTATGGAACATTCCTTCAGCTGCATAGAAAAATATAACTATAATGATAAACTATATAAAGTCATGGACCAAAGTTTCACTCCTACATGGTGCATTCCACTGTCTGTTTAAAGTTTATTAATGATCTGTATCTTTCTCCAAAGAAATCTGAAAAAATGCCAGAAAATCTCATATCCGGCAAGACCTCCTCGAAAGGTCCAAAAACCTCAGCAAAGAAACAGAAAGGTGAAAACAAGGCTAAGGAGTCCTCCAAGGGAAAACGAACACAGCTTGGTATGTAAGGTACAGCAGCAATGAAACTAGCAGTAGTCTGGTCTCACGTGACAGCTATCTTAATTATTTTGGGTCCATACATTTAAGCAGGAGATAAATTTGAATATGCTATTTTATATAACTGAGAGATCTAGAATTACGGATTATGGTTTTGTAACCAATATACGGAACATAGCAAAGCTACACTGCAATACTTACGCTTTGTCTTGGAAGTTTAGATTTAACAGTTTGTGGTGTCATAATAACAATATTGAATGGGAAACTGGGAGGCTTAATATGTATTAAGTGGGGAGAATCACAAAAGCTAACAGCCCAGGGAGAGAATATCAGGTTAGAGAGAGGTGTCCTTAGAAGCAGGAGTTCAGGTGCTCAGGATTACAGTGTAAAGGTACAATAATAGAGCTTGAAATTATATCGAAGTCTCACAATTTAATTTTGTAGTTCATTTTGTGGCATTTTTCTGAGATGTGCTGAGATACCATCTCGTGTCATTTATAAAGTGTACAGTTAATGAAGTGTATGGCTAACAAGCCTTTGAGATATATATATATAGATATATATATATATATATAATTTTTTTCAGTGATCCATGCATATTCTCAGAAAAGGTGGGAATGTACAGTTGCTTGGGTTTTGTTTCATAGATTGGTTTTTCTTGCCATGACAGCTACCGTCCTGAAGTTGCTTTCACCTTTTAATCACCTTTGTCCTCCCAGCTAGTAATAGCTGTTGTGGTGCAGAGAATATTCTGCACATCAGTGCCAATCTCTCCCTGTCCGACCTTGCTGTGAAGTTTGCAGACCCTCTCTCAGGAGCTGAAGAAAACCCAGCTCCTGCAGCACCCTGCCACCCAGAGCAAGGCTGCCCACCTCCCCGCTGTCCGAGGGGACTAATGTCTGCTCCTGCCTGCACACCTACCAGTGTTGCTGCTGTTCGATGTTAGGGAGCCTTGCCCATTTATCTCCTCTTCACATGACACGATTTACATGGTAATTGCCCCAGGCACGTAGTAGTCAGTGAAGTTTTCACCCATGGAAAGTGCAGTGTGGACCACAAGATGACAGATTTCTTATGGCTTCTTTCTTATGTAGACCACCTGCTCAAAATAAATCTCTGCAGTTTCAAAATATGCCAACATCTCCTTAAGATACAGGCCTATTTTAAAAGGCTTCACTCATTCCTTGTGTTAAATTTGGACTGAGCAGAAATATTTTTTTGTTTCTTATTCACAGTTTACTTTAAAATGTATATAAATATTTTAAATATTGCCCTATTAAGTAAAGAACTGTATATTTATAGTTACTCTGTTAGAAAGAAAAATTACTGATAACATCATGTTATATTTCAGGTAAAAAAGATGAAGTTGATCTTTCTATGGCTAGTATAGGTAAGTGTTATGATAACTGAGCTTTAAAGTAATAGTTTTGGAATACTTTAAGCATTCTGAAGCTTCAATGTTACTAATGGCAGGGAATAAAAAGGAAAGATTTTTTTTATGAATGAGAAAAATTAGAAACTATAAAAAAATGCAGCTATTGCAGTAGTGGTTACAGTACCACTCTGAGTAGCTGGCAGTGCAGCATGGAATGCTAAAACATGTATGGGTTTGTAGAAGATGTTTTCATCTTGGGTTAAGAGGAGTTGGGATCAGGGAAAATAGATCATTACAAGAGAATTACAGGGTGCAAAATGTTTGAATTTAGTAACAATTAAACAACTGAAAGAAAATCTTTTTATCCTTTTTAAAATATTTGTCAAATCAGTGAATCTGATGAGAAGACAATTTTAACAGATCACTTGTTTTTTTAATCATAGATATCAGTAGATACTGACTGACCTCTTGCTTTGTAGAAAAAAAAAATCTGCCATTTGAGCATTACAAGATATCAAGCACTTCTCTTGGTTTATGAGCAAGAAAACCACATTTTTATGTGTGGCCAGATATAAGCTTAAACATGTAATTATTTGAATTGAAATATTTTATCTTAAACATCAAATATTTTTAAAATGTTTTTTTCACATCTCTAGTTAGATTTTTCTTCTGACCTGATTTGTGGTTATATATTTGGATATAACTGAAAATTATATCAGTGTAAAATTTATCTACCGTTTACAGGAATAGCCCAAAAGGTTATCTTCTTAATTAGCTTTTAACAGTACAGCTTTTATTGCTAAAACCTAAAACATAATGTAGCAAATACACAAACGAGGTAATTTCTAAAGAAATCATAAATCACTTGTCTTTGTACATAATCCTGTAAGTACATGGGTGGAAATGAAAATTGCACTCTAATTAGCTTACCGAAATGGGTAAGGTGCGGTTAATGAAAATGGACAATAAGTGATGCCTCAGATGATGAAAGGGTTCCTTTCAAAGCTCTATTTGCGGTGATCCTGGAGATAGTTTTGACAGTAAGAGAGAATTTTACCTCCACCTAGTGGCAAATAAGGTTAGAAGCCATAATATCTAAACTGTCTCGAAACCTGTTGCTAAAAGCAGGAAAAATTGCTACTATACACAGACGCTGTGCAGGATTTCAACCGTATGCATGGTATCTCCTTAGTGTAAGACCTGCAAGTGTTCTTTACTTAGAGCTTTTTGGTCCTTTGTGAAGTTCTTATAACACTAGGAGCTGTAGACTGTTACAAATTATATGGGTACAGTTTACTACTAGAACGCAATATGAAGCCTCTTATTACATGCTACATACTTTTTACTGGATAGCAGCATTCAGTAAAAATGTTCATAATACTAATTCCAGTATCAGCTCTTCATATTATGATACTGAATCTATAGTATAGATCCTATAGTATAGAATCTGTTATAAAAGATGTACATATTTTAATTCTGATCATTACTTTGTTTTTAACTTGGACTTATAGCAATAGAGCAGTGAAGAAAATAGACTATCTGTCATAGTCTGCTCCCTCTTGTAGTGATGTCTATTGTATTTTTGCTTAACTTGAACATGTGCTTATATTGTTTCCTTTGACATTGAAAACTACATCTCTTTGAAAATATTTCTTTACCATTAGTATTTGTGGACAAGGCTGCATGCATGATTCAGAATTTTAAAAAATAACATCATACAAGGTTCTTGAATAAATAACAGTTACTCCTGTTTAGGACTTTTGATGTTTCAAAAAAAATCTAATTGTTTGGTTTTACTTAAATGTATTATTCTCATGGCTCAAATATTCTGAAAAATGTTCCCATAAGAATCAGCAAATCTTGTTTATAAATTTTCTTTAGGTTCTAGCCCTCCTAATTGCACTAGCCACATAACCAACTCTGACAACTGCAATATGTACAAATTTTTTTGTTCCTTTGCTCTCCTGTCCATTCTGTCCTGTGAGCCAGCTGTGCATGGCAGAGGATGGAAATTGCATTCTGTCTTAGTGTACAGCTTGTTCTAAGTTTTTACCCTCTTCCTATCCTATGAAATTTAATTTGCAAAAGGAGGTATAATTTTTTTCTCCAATATATCAAAATGTAAAGTATATCTATACTGTTACTAGGGTTTGAGCCTGCTTCCTAATAATAGCATCCTTATGAGGCCTCATGCCCTTGGCTAGGGTGACCTGGCAGTCCTGCAGATCAACTTTGGCAGTTCCTTAAAAGGACTAAATGTTTCAAATCACCCTGGAATAAACACTTTTTCTGAGCGTGGTCTCATAGACAAATTGATAAGCAAAAGAAGAATCTAAGTTTTGGCCTCATACAGAGACTACAGAGAGTACATGTCAAAATGGCAAATACAGGGACTCCGGGAAATAAACGAGCTGTGGCTTGGTCTGGTGTTACCAACAATGAGTTTGGACCAGATGACTTTCAGAGGTCTTTCCCAATCAACATCTCTATGATTTTGGATTTTTTTTGAAGCATCCACACAGAAATCCCAGAGATCTCTGAGATATCAAAAAGGAAAGTCATACAATATCGACTACAACTTGTGAAGAAAGTGAACTAATGGACTATGCATGCTACAAATGGATTGTGTGTGCTACAAAATAACTAGTGAATGCCAAGTGAATCATACTTGTTTAGTGCAGGGTATGCCAGAAGCATCATACATGTCATTAATTTTAGTGATGACTATCACAGAGCGGGTGCAGTGGAGGAGCAGCACTGAAAGATTTTAAAGGATAAATGTCAGATTCATCAAGCATTATGTATTATATGATAGGCTTATGCAGAGATTTAGCTTCTCGGCTGATAGAGACTAAGAAGGATTTATCATTTTGTCAGTCCTTGTTGGCTTAGGTTAGAGATGGCTTCTCAAAACGTGCTGAGCCAGCTGGTCAATATCATCAGTTTAGATATATCAACTTCAATTTAAGGTACATACAAGGAGAAAAATACCACAGGTTCTGGGAATTAAGATAAATTATTAAATAAATCAAATTAAAAATAGAATGAAACAAAGGAGATAAAAAGTATCAGCTATTATCACAAAATCCAGCCCACTTCAGTACATAAAAATCCCATGTATATGTGTCTCTAAATCTTTTCCACTTTCCAGTTTATGAAAAAGATAACCATTCAAAGTGAACGCCTACTAGCCACCTTGGACAAAAGCATACTGGCCTCATGAAGAATGCTCTTACTATGGCAGCTGAGACATAACAGCATGAGTCTGCTAGCATGGCAGTATTGCAAAGGAAGAAAAGTCTCAGGCAGCAGGATTCAACTAGCCGGGCCTATAGTGATCTTAATCACTTGTAACTGTTACATAAACCAGAAGGCAAAATATGTAATTTGGGAAGGACTGGTGTACATGCAGCTGACATACACCTTACAAGAAGCACTGTATATTATCTTCAGATTGAGTGTTTGCAAAGCACAGTCATAGGGTCACCTAACTGCACCCTGCCTCACTAAAAACAATTAAGGTAACAGTGCCAGAGCTAGGATAAGAAATAGCTATCTTGTTCTGAATTAATATGAACAAACCTAACAGAGATCAGGTGCATGGAAAATAATAGCTATATATTCTCCAGTAAGGCTGAAAATCAAGTCTTGTATCTGGCTTGAATCTTAGGGACCTTTATTTAGTCTCATCTGTTAGTTGAGAAATAGACTCAACTGCACTTTGAACTGGATGAGAGGAAGATGAAAGTCCAAAATCAGAAAAGCATCCTTATTTGGGATGGTATTGAAGCCTTGTTTAGATAAAACACTGACTTAACACGGCATTTCTCTCCAGGGAAGGACTAAAGTATATTATTTATTCAAGGGCTGTTAAATCAGAGCCATGCAGTTGTGTCCTTAATGTATCAAAACCAGTCCATTAATGACTCTTCACTAAAGCTCTTAATCACCTGTTGATCAAGAGGGGAAAAAAAAGCTCATACTAGGAACAACATATTGATTAAGTAGGAAATGTTAGGTAGAGTCTTTTCTAAGATTAACAAAATGTAATATAATTTGTATTATCTGCCTTCCAAAACCACCAAAAACTAAACTGAGAGATTCAAAGGCATTCTGTTAGGAAACAGTAAAGACCCAGAGTTGTTAAGGTATATGTTTATGTTTAAACAATATTAATTTATCATACAATTTTGATTTCTTTCATAGGCCACCCAGAAATCTTTCCTTTAGTTTTCACTACAAAGACCCAAGAAATTTTTAACTGCCGAGTTGATGAAGATGTCACAGAAGAAAATTGTTTCAAACTTATTAAAAAAGAGGACATCATTCAAGACCTGAAAACAAGAGCTGCAATTTCTGATTTCCACCCTGTCAAAAAAGTTGTGCTAGTATGTAGCTTATTTCATTCTCACTTTAAGACTTCATGCTCTCAGAGTAAATATTCTTTTAATTATAAGGTCTCTCCTTGTTTGACTCTGTGTAAATACACTAATGCTTTAATATCCAAAGGCTATAGGATCACTGTCAACTCAAAGTTTCTCATGGCTCACTGTGCATGTTGGGTTGGGTTTTTTTTACTAACTTTAGATTGAAAATATGCTAAAAGTGATGTAAATATTACTAGATTTGATTCTATGAACTGGCAGAGCTTCACACATTTTGGCTTCCCCTAATTCATGGTCTATTTATTGAAAATCATTGAAACCATTTCTTTTCTGTTTAATTCTCTGTATGAAAAGATTAGTTTTGTCCCAAACTTATTTTTATTAAAAAATAAAATCCATCTACTCTTTTCAATTAGCATATGAAATTGTCTGTTAAGCCCACAAGATTAACCAAAGATACTGAATTTACACTAGAAGTAGCTTTGCCAGTCACAGCTCATGTCTGTTTTGTATGTTAATTGCTTTCAGTCTTCCACTAATTATTTTAATTAAAATAGGAATATCCAGGGGAAGAAATTTTGGTAGTTTTTGATGCAAAGTTCCAATACGGACAGAACTTTTACTTTGTTGCTTCTGAGGAAGCCAAGGAAAACCTTCTGAAGGTAAGAAAATCCAAGTATACTACAGCATTGTCCTATCTGTGAATATTTCAGAATCTTGTCTCAAGCATATACTTCAGGAATGGTACTATATTCATAAACATCTGATGTGCTTGACATGCCAGAATGTTTCTCTAAAGGTTAATCTGATCATGGAAAAATACCTGTATCACTGTAAAAATACCTTTTAAATTTTGTATTTTACTTCAGAGGGCCAATATAATGCCCATTGCTGCATTTTTAGCATAAGCGTTAATTTCCTCTGCCAAGACCCAGGTTCTTAAGAAAGACATAAAATATTTTAATATATTGGGCGTCTTCAAAGAAATATCCTTATTTTTTCACAACATGTATGTATATATTCTTCAAATCAGACTTTAAATTGTTCTTGAGTTCTAAGTAGCTCTAGGTACATAGAAGACTTCCACTTGTGCGCTGCATCATAGGAGAAGGTTTATGGGTAGATTACGTAATTTTTCAACATGAGTTTGTCATCCAGCATCAGGAGAAGTAACAATTAACAGAAAAGCAAATTACAATTCCAGGCAAAAGGTTCTAATGTAGAAAATCACTATACATTCTTTCTATATAACTGGGTTTCTTTCAAAACAACAGTCTTCCTTTAGTAGTTAAATATGTAATGTTTATTGGTAAGTTCTAATGCACAAGTGAATGAATGGGACCTAACCCAATTGTACCCAGGGGCACAGCATAGCCAGACTTACTGCATTGAGACAAAAGAAAAGAATGTGTGAATAACGACTGAAAACCGGGTTTCTATTTTCTATGTACATTTTAGTAACACATTTTTGAAAAAGTATCATTTCTCACTGTTTGATGTCACAGCCTCCAGAAACTGCAGAAGACAAAGAAGAAAAAGAAGAAGAAAATAGAGAGGAAACTCTGGAAGTCCATCCTTATAAACCTCCTGTCCACAAACCTTGGGTTTCTCTTGGCAGTGAAAAGGAAATTGAAGAAGAATCTGTTAAAGACACTGTTACAGAGGTCAGAATCAACAGATGTTAGTAAGTCAAATATCAAAAAACCAAATTAAGTCCCTTAAAAAAAGGTCAGGAAACTGAAAGTTGCAATCCTAGTTTTGCTTGGGGTCTTTGAAGGAAAAAAAAAAAAAAAGAAAAATAGAGAAAAAGCTCAACTTTTAACAAAAACTGAAAGTGCTGCAGAAACTTTTTACAACTCTGTTCTCTTTAAATCCTGCAAATAAGTAATGTGAGACTGCATTGGACTTACCTACTTTTTAAGCTGCAAATTCAAAAGTCCTGATCATCGTTGTTCATTAGCATCTCTGCCACTTCTTGCTCAATTTACTATCTGGCCACATTACAAGTTGAGTCATTGCAATTATATTCCAAGGACCTAGTTCTGTTTCCACAGGGCTCTGTGAACTCTGTTTCACTAGATGGATGGCATTTAAGTAGCATGCCACACTTTTAAGGACTCTCTACCTGGGAATAAACGTTACTGATGACAGGTATTACAAGCTGACTTTAAAGAGGGACATATTTGATTAACTACTCCTACAGATTATACTGAGAAAATTATAGGATCCACTCATATCTATCACCTAACTTGTGATGTGTGGGGCATCTCCAAGCATTTAACTGTCCATCAGTGATTTTCACTCAATACCTAAATCCCTGTTCAAGGAATACTGGCTCTTTTGATGGTTCTCAGCAACTGGATATCTTGCTTATACTTAAAAAGATGTTTCATTGTTCTAAAGCTAATTTGCAGTCTCAAAATTTAACCCACATTCACAGTCCAAATATTCTGTATTCTACACTGCTGGCAAGGACCACTCAGAAGTATTCTCAGCCTACATTCCTCCACAGTTCTGTGGGAGGTGCTGGGAAAAAGTACCTGGCTGGAAATCTAAGACAGAGCAATACCTCTGCACTGCCTGAAATCAAGTGCCTACCTCTGTGGGTAGAAGTCAAGCCACATCCCTTCTTTCTTCCTAGTTCTCACTATAAGGAAACTCCTTACTCAGATTTTTGTGGATCCTCTTCAGGGTATTTTCTCTTCCTAGGCACTGCAAGAGAAACTGAAACACCTCACCCAAAGTTGAGAATTGCACTAAGAGGGAAGGGCTGAACAGTTAGGTCTTGGAAGTCCAATGCAGTATTACGTTAAGGCCTCCTACAAATCAATCCTTTAATTAAAGGTGCAGTTTTGGTATTGCATGAATTAGAAAATGTAGTTCTTTTATCCTACTAGCAGTAATCCAGAATGTTACCTAAAGGCAATTTCTTGTTTTAGAAATACAAACCTGTCTTCTATTACATATGTAGGTTATTTATGTGAGCATTTCAGAATTTCAAAATGCATGACTATAACTCAGCACAGAAATATTCGATAGAACTAATTCTACAATTATACGAATGCTGCCATTTTACAGAATAAACTTTCCAAAAACTTTCTCCTCTGCTAGCTACATAAATATCTCTTTTCCAGATTAAGTATGTAATTTCTCAAGGACACAGAAAGTTTGGTGCACCGATTACATTTACTGATAAGAATGCTTCACATGTAAAAGACAGTTACATTGAATGCACCTCCTATCAAGACAAAACTTTTAGCATTAAAATGCTTGAAAAAGATGTAGGTGTACAAATGGTTCCAAAAGTAAGAGAAGCTAGTACTCAGACAAAATGGTAAGTATGACAAAATATTTATCAGCTCATTTCTTAAGCTATGCACTGTTTCTGATCACAATTACTGTTATGTAAATTCTGGAGTTATTCAGTTACAGACTGATCAAGAGAACAGAAATGGATGCTCTGTTTGCATCTTTCTTCTTTCACTCTTTTTCAAAGAGTTTCTAGAAAAACTGATTATACTTAGCTTTTAATTTACACATTGCATGGGTTTCGATCTCTGAAATTGTTTCTATACTTATTCACATTCAAATTTATTTCAATTGGTTAGGACCTACCCAAAAAATGCAGCCACACAGTATTTTCCTCAAGAGTTATCAAATAAAGAGAGAGAAGAGAGTCTGTCATCGGAAAAGCTGAAAGAATTTCTTAAATCAGTACACTTAAGGTAAAATTGCTGTAGCAATACATATTAAAGGCTACCTGAAATAATATAGAATACAAGCAAGAACTCTTGTCTGAGTGGACCATTGGTCTGGTCAAATACTGTGCAGGTTTTTTTGTTTTTATATACTTTTGGGGGGGGTATTATTTTAATATTAACAATTATTAATGTTTCTTTATATGAAAACTAACATGAAGTCTATGCCATATAAATATGAATGTTGTTTTAAATAGATATTAGAACTGTTAAAGTTGATTGTGATACATCTTTTTAAACAAGCTGCAAAGCTGATATTTCAAACACTCCTCACTCAAGCAGAGGCTTATGCAGAAGAGCAAAGTTGCTGTCCTACAGCCCTTAGTCACGGGAAAGATCCCATTGACACTTTTTGCACAAGAATTGGACAATTGCACTGTACTTGATCCACACAGAACTAGAGTTAAATTCTTGGTACAATTAATTATTTAAGTGGAAGAGAGTTTCCTTACAGTGATGCATTGCTGAGGAATACTTTTTTTTTTACTCCTGTGGTCTAAAGCTGCCTCTTTACAGAAATATTTGTGATTCTACTACTGAGTAGTCACATCTGGATTACTGAAAGTGTTAACTCTTCTTTTCACAAAACAGAATGGAAATTGCATTGCAGCAAAATGAAATTATGAATGCTTTTTTTGATGACTGGGAGGCCCTAGCAGAAGATGAAAGCAATTCTGGTAGCAAGCCAGATGTTTATCTTAAAGCATACCAATCATTTACAGATCTGCGCTATCTCAAGGACAGAACTATTAGCTGCGTTTGCTGGCATCCAACCATTTATGGTAATGTGGTTAAAATACTGATTTGAGACTTGAATGACATGTATGATATGATAGCTGTAAAATCATCATCAAAATCATCAGGTTTTACATTTAAAACCAAATCAAAACTGATTGAATATGTCTGTCTGAATTGCTGATTTGAGGCAAAGTGAAAAATGAGACAGGCAAATTCTTTGCAGAGTTCAGGCAGGCCAAGCAAAGTCCCTCACACTAATGTTTAAGTGGAGATCGTAAGAAAGGGAAATTTCTCCCTTATGAGGCTCATTTAAGTGGAGCTGCAACTGTGCCAGGTCCTTCTGGTGGCTCTGCATACCACTGTTCTCCCCATGGCTGGTTCTTGTAGCACGCCTAATACTTGTGAGGAATGTTACAGCCACAATGGGACATGGCTCTGCTGAGTGCCAGGGAGCATCACGAGGCATACTAAATGTCTCCTTCTGCTCCCTGCTGTGGATTAGAGCTCTACACAGCCAGGCTTAAAGGCACAGTGAAGTTCTACATAAATGTCCTAGCTGTACAGCATACTAATAGCCAACACTGCAATCTGTGTAGGAAATTAATTAATCTACAAAAGATTTGATTTCATGATGGGTGGCCAGGACTATATGCCTGTCACATAATTTCAAGTGCAGTATTACACCATTAAGGAGTAGTAGCAAAAAAGTTTAACTTCATCTTGATGCTTACTTTCTACAACTCGTTGTTAAGTAACTTAAAATCAGGTAACAAAAATAATTTCCTCAAAATTGATCTGTAAAAAGGAAAATATAAATACATGGTTGGGGTTTTGGTGGGGTTTTTTTTCAGTGTATTCAGAAGGTATAAGTAACTTAGAATAATTAACAACATGTTGAATCTTGAATTATCTCTTCTGAGAAAAGTTGTTTTCTCTCTCAATCAGGGATTATAGCAGTGTCAGCAAAAGAGCAGCTTTCTTTTGAAGAGCAAGTTAACCTTTCTGATAAATCATTGATGCAGCAGCCAGTAATACTTTTTTTGAGTTTTTCTGACCCTATCCACCCTCAGGTATTTAATCAGGACTTTTATATATGCCAAGTGTTTAAATAACAAGAGAACAAACAATCAGTGTGACTGTATTTCTCAGCTATCTTGTTTCTCTTTTTTCTAGTTAATGTTGGAGTGTCCTGAAGACATTTACTGCTTTCAGTTCTGTCCAAGTGATCCGAATATCATTGCTGGTGGCTGCATCAATGGACAGGTGCTAATTCTCTGTTTAAGAATTAAATTGGATATTTCTGTATTTTCTTACAGTATAAAAATAAGGGTGAAGAGATGTATTCAACATCCACAGTAACACATAATGTCAAAAACAGATGTCACAGTCTCAGAAATTCTCTGATCCTGTCCTGAAGTTATGCCTGGTGATTCCATAGCTGACCCATTACTGTACAATGCTTCTTTATAGTACTGGTAAACAGGTCAGGCTGTAAAGACTTTTGTTGTTGTTGTTGAGACAAGCATAGCCTTTCAACTGATTCCATCAGACTAAAGAGGCAATACTGTAAAGACTTATGAAGTTCTAGTGTAGAGAGTGAATTTTATTTTTCCCCAAACCTCCATGAACTGTATTTGAAAAAATGCATGTTAATGTAAAGGATGAAATAATTCATAATATACTCATTTCTCATTGTAGATTCTATTGTGGGATATTTCTCAACATGAAGAAAAGCTGCAAAATGCACAAACTGATGCTGATGGAATCAAGGTAACATCTGTTAATATGGTAGATGTTTTCATTCTAAATACATTGCATTACATATATATGTCTGTGGGGAAAAACAGGTGAAGGTATCCTGATTCAAAACAGACTAGATATCCTTTCTGGTTTCTCATTGCAAAGATTAAGAAACCTGACGAGTTCATGAAACAAACCTGACAGTTATCACAATATAATTTCTACCTGATTAGTCTATTTTAAAACCTGATTAGTGCATGTTGTGCAGACACTAGCTTCAATAAGGCTGTTCTTTAATGGGCACCAACACGTACTCAACTCTTGCCTGGTGAAGCCTATCAAATACATGTAGCACTTGCTGCTGAATGAAATACTGAAATTTATTCTGGAAGTTTATGGACAGAAGAAAGGTAGCTTGGAAGAAAAGAAGCAGATTTCAATGGAAGAAGACTACAAAGGGGATAAGCAGCAGAGAGCCTAAGAACAGAGGAGGAACTAATAACAGAAGTGTACATGTGTGTGCCTGTAGAGGCTTGTTGGAATTCTTTTTAGAGCTTCATATCCAAAGGCCTGTTTTAATGCACTGCTTCCCCCCCCCCCCCCCCCCCCCCCCCCGAG